AAGTATTAATATGTTTACTTTCTCAAATATAATACTTACACCATTTGAATTTAACTTTTAATTATCTATACTCTATATTTTTGTAATACTTTACTTTCATTTTTATCAAAAAAAAAAAATTTAAATAAAAGAATTTAATTTAAATAACCGGCGGTGATGAGCACCGGTTCACGAGATACAATACAATTATGTAATTATTACATCATCGATTTAATAAAATATACTATTGTTTTATGTATTATTTATTTCATGGTGGGTTAGGAATATTATGGTTTTTTTCCTTCGGGAAAAAACATGGTATTTCTAACCTCATGAAATAAATGGGTAACCCCCAGGAGTGTGTCACTCATTAAACATATCTCGTGATTATGCATGATTAGCGAGTTAAACTTTTTTTAGCGATTTAACTTTTTTTAGTGATTAAAAACTTTTTTTTTGTCATTATTTTTTTTCCTTAAATTTTTTTCTTTCTATTTCACATTATTCACTTATTTTTTCTTTTTACATTAATAATGACAACGCGATTTGTTTCATCAATTAAAGAAATAATTTTAAAATTTCAGAATTCATCAAAAAATGTAAATACAGACAAATCTAACAATGTGTGGATAGGTTTATTTATTAAGTTTTGTGAAGCCCGTGGTTATTTAAATGAAATTGTTGAATTGGATAATAAAACATTATCTGAACAATTAGGACAATTTTTAGTAGAAGTAAGAAAATCTAATGGTCAAGAATATAAAGCATCATCACTATATACTGGATTTTGTGCATTAGCAAGAGGAATTTCTGAAATATTTGAGAAAATTAGAGTTGTGAACTTATTTGATACTTCTCAATTTAAAAGTTTACATAGAACTTTGGATAGTCATATAAAATCAATCGCTAATCTAGGATAAAATAATCGAAATAATCAAATCCCTTAGAGATTGATGAAATCAAATTTATACTTAACTCACCTAGCACCAATACAGATACTCCTAAGGCCTTTTACAAAGGGTTTGGATCTGATTAACTTTATTATGCTGTTTAAGAGATAGTGATGCTAAATGATTAAAAGCTTCTTAGATTATTGAAATGGATGATAATGGAATAAAGCTTAAATTACCTAAGGAAAAAATCATGCAGAAGGAATTAAAGATCTATATGCAGCATCTGGTACAAGTTTTATACCACCTGATACTTCAGAAAATATTTATACTACTGTTGCAGATATCTAAAAATTCTTAAATAAACGTCCTAATAATGTTGAGAATGACTATTTCTTTGTATCAATTAATACACCAAAAAATATATATAATGGTAATTGGTATTTAACAACAAAGTTAGGAAAAGGATCACATAATATGATGATGCATAGTATATGTTCTGATTTTAATTTAGATTTTAAAGATCGTAATATTACTAATCATTCAATAAGATCAATGGGTATTCACAGTCTTATTAAATCTGACGTCACACTTGATGAGCAGATGAATTTTTTAAGACATAAAATAATTGCAAAAGTATCCACCTATCAGCATCAATCTATCAAGTGTAAACAAGATAATGCTTCTCTTCTAATTCCTACTAAAGATGAGGTATTAAAGGATTCAACAAATCAATTCAATATATAAACAAACATTTATTGAAATTATTAATTTTATTATTTAGAAATAACTATAATTTTTTTTTAGGATTTTTAAGGCATCTGATTTAATTAAACGATATGACAATACTAACTTTGTAAAAAATAATAAGTCAGATGATGATTTAACGTGTTAAAAATCAAAAATTCCAAAAATTTTTGTAGAAAATGAGATAATATTAATATTAATATTACTTTTAAATGCAATTAATATTTTTATTAGAAATTATATTTTTATAATGTATAATGAAAATGTTAGTCAAATATTAATCAAATAAAATTCAAATAAAGAATATAATTTAGTTTTAATACAAATTATTAAGTTGTTATTATTTTTTAAACTATCCTTATAAAATTAGTGATTTTCCAGCCAGCTGTCTATATAAGACTGAAAAGTAAGTAAAAAATTAATATGAAAATAATCATAAGTAACACTTAGTGCGACAGGGGATTATATGACATATTCCATCTATAACGATATTTGGAATGAAAATTCTAATTTTATTTTTTTTTAGTTTTTTATATTTAACTTTTCTAACTCGTTACTTTAACTAAACAACACCTAGTCGTAGAATAATCAATAGAATTATGAGTGATTATAGATATAGAACATATTATAAATATTTTCATGAATCATATTAGCATTTTATATCTTTATATATATATATATATATTGTTATCTTTATATGAAATTTTCTATGGACTGGGTTTTTTTGTATTTTTTTTGTTTTTTATGTATCAATTTTTACAAATGTGTTTAATTTTAAATGAATAACTCTTTTGATCCTGAAAGATTCAATAACGGGTTTGAAAATATATTCTATTATTTATAAAACATTTCTACTTCTGATTAATATTGCTGTAACGTTAGTGATCTTCTCCCAAATTACTATTTATATCCAAACTAAAAAAAAATCATTGTATTTAACTAAATTACAGAAATTATTTATTTCTAAATTGAATGTAATATGATTTATATTTCCAAGTATACAATATTTAATTTGCCTAGCCTTGGATTATTTACTTAAATTTAGCGCATGATTCTATTTTCTTTATATGTATTTTTTTATTTATTAAATAAAATAATTGGTTCACAATTCATATTATTTATCCTTCTTAACCAACTAATAAAAAGGTGATATTCTATAAAATGTGTTATATAATATGATGCAATCTGTATAAAAAGGAGGAGTGTGTTATGAATATCTACTTGTATTAAAATTAGGAAAAGAATCTTATAATGAAATTTGTTATTAGAAAAAAATTAGAAAAAAAAAATCAAAATTTACAAATTCATACTTAAAACAATACATTAGATGCATATAAAACGTTGCTGAAAAATAATTGAAAAGACAGAAAAGGGAAAATTGACAAACAATTCTTCAATATTTAACATTATATAAAGATAAAGGTTTGAGCTCAATTAAAGAATTGGGTAAATTTGGTAATCTACTTATTTGTGTATCAAAACACCAGAGATTTTTTAAGGAGTCAGGTAAAGTCGGTAAGTAATTTAATTGAGTATTATTGCAATAGAGTTCTGTTAAGGAGCTGGGTAAATTTGGTAAGCTATTTAATGGAGTGTTAAAACAACTGAGTATTGTTAAGGAGTCGGGTAAAGTTGGTAAACTATTTATTAGAGTATTACTACAATTGAGCTTTATTAAGGAATCGGGTAAGGTTGGTAAGATATTTATTTGAGTTTTACTACAATTGAATTTCGTTAAGGTGTCGGGTAAAGTTGGTAAGCTATTTATTTGAGTTTCATAGCAATGGAGTATTGTTAAGGAGTCGGGCAAAGTTGGTAAGCTATTTATTTGAGTATTACTACAAATGAGTTCCGTTAAGGAGTCAGGTAAGGTTGGTAAGCTATTTATTTGAGTTTCATAGCAATGGAGTATTGTTAAGGAGATGGGCAAGGTTGGTAAGCTATTTATTGGAGTATGACTACAACCTAGTATTGTTAAGGAGTTTGGTAAAGTTGGTAAGATATATATTTGAGTTTCATTACAACCGAGTATTCTTAAGGAGTCGGGTAAAGTTGGTAAACTATTTATTGGAATATTATGACAACGGAGTAATGTTAAGGAGTCGGGTAAAGTTGGTAAGCTTTTTATTTGAGTATTATGACAACGGAGTAATGTTAAGGAGTTAGGTAAAGTTGGTAAGCTATTTATTTGAGTATTACTACAAATGAGTTCCGTTAAGGAGTCGGGTAAGGTTGGTAAGCTATTTATTGGAGTATTACTACAACTGAGTATTGTTAAGGAGTCGGGCAAGGTTGGTAAGCTATTTATTGGAGTATTACTACAATCGAGTTCCGTTAAGGAGTCGGGTAAAGTTGGTAAGCTATTTATTTGAGTATTGATACAATAGAGTTCCATTAAGGAATCGGGTAAGGTTGGTAAGCTATTTATTAGAGTATTACTACAACGGAGTTTCATTAAGGAGTCGGGTAAAGTTGGTAAGCTATTTATTGGAGTATTACCACAACTGAGTATTGTTAAGGAGTCGGGTAAAGTTGGTAAGCTATTTATTTGAGTATTATTGCAATAGAGTTTTGTTAAGGAGTCGGGTAAAGTTGGTAAGCTATTTATTTGAGTTTCACAGCAATAGAGTTCCGTTAAGGAATTGGGTAAAGTTGGTAAGCTATTTATTTGAGTATTACTACAACCGAGTATTGTTAAGGAGTCGGGTAAAGTTATTAAGCTATTTATTTTAGTATTACTACAATTGAGTACGTTTAATTTCCGATATCTTTGCAATCCTCCTAATTCGTTTAATATATCTTTGTTAAGATCCGTAATCGTTAAACTATC